TGTCATGCAGGTCCTTATGTTGAATATGGTTTGGATCTTCCTAGAAAAAAACACTAATCGGGAAGTATCCGATACCGTAAGCCGTACGTAGTACACATAGTCCTTGTGTTCTGGTGGTAGTTAATGTTCTGCAGTACCTTCTGGTGCTGAAGAAGCAGCAAAACATTTCATATAGTAGAGCAACACTATACCTATGTTGTGCGTAACTGTGGAATGTTTCCTCGGCTTTTCAGGCTCTTGGTGCCTGAGCTGCTGCTACTTGACAACTGTCCAGGGGCAGTGCCTCAGCCAACACAATAAGAGCTGCAAACTGGGCTAGGCATAATGGTAATGTTTCCAGCTATATTAGCAGGGACAATTTCCCTCTGTTACTAGATCCCGAAGCCTACTGGTATCCTGGTTAAGCCACCTTCAGTTTGTCTTAAACTTGATCTCAGAAACTGAATGACCAATGCAGGCAACGAATATGTCTGTATGCTCAGAATGCATAAATCCATTCGGAGGCTCTTCTCTGAATGTCTTTATGCATTATTTCACAAGGGCTCTGGGGCTCCTTACATGTGGTTCTGTGGGGAAGAAGGAAAAAGGGATGGTGCCATCTCTTTGATCTTTGCAGATTGTCTGTGGAACAATTGATGTTTGCAACATCCTGGCTAAGAGGAATCTCATAATCCGTTCTTATCACATTAAGGTCTAATTGCCTGCCTTAATAGGGATGGTGCAGAAGTAGACAAACAAAGGAAGTAGAAATGGTTGGTGGAAAGAAGAGAGTAAACTGTACAGTGGAAATAAACCTATGGTCACTTGATCAAAAGCAATTTAGCAAAGCCTTTTAGTTATGGGAAAACTTCTTTTCTCCTTACTTTCCTGTGGGAAGGGAGAAAACCATTTTGTTCACAGCAACACTTTTTCAACTAGAAATGTTTTCTCTATTATTAGGAAATTCTTGACCAGTTGTGGTGACAGGGCTGATTCAAGAATCTGTTTCCTGAAACAAAGTGGGCTTGTTCCGAGTCTTGGGAACCTGCAAGTGAAATGAGAGGTTCATGTGCTACGGTTCCGGTTTTATTTGTTTGTTCTAACTTTGGATTTGCTTTAAGTTGAAATATGCTTTTAAAACAGGAGGGGCCAGCGAGCTACCCGGGCAGACATGTTTTATCAGTAAGTACAGGAAGAAGTGGGATGTAAATAAACATTAGTGACATACCAATCTGCTGCTTCCTTTTCCTCTAACTTCTGTATTTAAGATAGTTTCTTAGGAAATAACCCCAGTATGTCCACTCTGTATCTCAGCATTTGCAGCCTGAAATATGTCAGGAGAATACACTAGGTTAGTCACATTCTGAGCTCTTGCTGTTATAGCTTTTCTTTGAGACTAATGAGAGGATTACATTTGGCTAAGTATGACTTCTGAAATTGGTTGTTAACCCTTGATGTTTTAATGTGGGGCTGTAACTTAGAACAGTTGTATTGTCAATGTCAGTGTTTTCTTCTTAGATTCTGTTTTCACTGTAACTTACACAAGTGCGAAATAAAGTGGTTTTAGTTCTTACAGCTCCATATCAAAAAGCAGTGAAAAGGGAGGTAGTAGTACGCTGCTTTCAGAATGTCAAGTTTTTCTGCTTAAAATCTAAGAAAGAAGCAGTTGTGCTTAGAGCAGTTTATTTGTCTAGGTTAAAGAATTATCTGCTTCTTTTCTCCAGAAGACAGACTGCACCCAGTAGACTGCTGGAAGTAATGGATGGAGCTGGGAGAGGCTAATGTTACCCTAGAGCATCATCCAAGTTACAGAACTGGAGGCAAAGGGTTTTGGGGGGGAAAGCCCAAAAGATCATACTGCAATAGGCTTGAATTAAAGTCTGTGCTTATTAAAACTAAACTAAAATATGCTGGTTTAAAAAGGAGACTGTCCTGAGATTCCATATTGGGAATTAAAACTCACTTTTCTTCAAGAACCACAATTTGCTAGTTTAGATCTCAGTGTGTCAAAACCCCATGTTCTAGTGAGCCTCATCAAGGTCCTTTCAGTGCACTGTAAGCCCTGAAAAGGGCTGAAAATATATGTTTTCACCAGAAGAAATAATTCTTTTTATTTTGTCTATTTTTCTTTTTATTCCTTTTCCTTTAAATAGCTTAAATTTAACCTGGAATAAAGAAAACCCAAACCAACTACAGTACTGTTGTTTGGAGTAATCCTTAATAGCTTGATTTCTAAGTGCTGGCAAAAACAAAGTAAGTTAACTTCTATGATTATTAATTTAGTAAAATCAAATGCCAGTACATGTAGTGATGGATTTAAGACACAAAATACCACATTTATTTGCAGCCTGTCACTCAGAATGTCTTATGTTGTGTGTAGGCTTACATTCTTTCCCTTTGTTTCTTAAGTCTCAGATCATTTAAATGTTTTAGACACGTGAGGACAGAAACCTGTTTTCAGCTCCTGGAATTGATTTTCACTAGCTAGAAAAAAGAGTCTGCCTCTGTTTTATGAGACGCAGTGTTAGTAATACCACAGAGGGGTTTTTGTGTTTTGTAACTGCTAATCTCTGCCAAAACAGCAGCTCTTCTGTGAGTATCAGTAACTTGAAAGAAAAGACATATTTAGAGCATTGAATGTGGTACTTCTCCGTGTAAAGCTCCTGTTACACCACCCTGCCTACAGCTCTCACAAAGAGGATTACATGGGCTCTGTTGTGCCTCCTAACCTCTTTGAAATCATTCTGTGTCTGTAAAAAACAAGAGGTCTCATAGAGGTGATTTTTAGCTTTAGATTTTCTATTGATATTTCTAAGTCTCTACCTGGAACCACTTTGTGCTCTCTCATTTCTTTTCCACTATTTCAGTCGCTTAGAATAGCCACATCTGCCACGCTTGGGTTTCGGTGCTTTATCCATGTGTTCTTGTGACAGAAGCTAAAAGGCGCCATCACCTTCAGACTGTAAAGGAATTCTGCAGGTTGTGCCCCGAACCGCGGTGAAGTAACTTCCCGTCTGATCAGCTAGTACAAAGTTGAGGAAAAGGCTGGCTGCAGAGGAACAAGCAGTAGCAGCTACCCATCTTTGTCACAGCAGTGATTTTATTCCTCCTTCCCATCCATGCAGGAAAAACTTCCACCTCTGCTGCTGTTATAGAATCATAGAATGGTTTGGGTTGGAAAGGACCTTAAGATCATCCGGTTGTGTGGTTCTCCTGCCCTGGGCTGGTGGCAGTTGTGCCTTAGGAGTAAGGAGGGATCTCTCTGTTCACATTAGTACAAATGACTAATGCTATTTTTCTTCACATGGATGTTATTTAAATGTTAATTCTAGGGCAAGCAGTCATGCTGTGACTCAGTCTAGGTAAGCACTGGGACACAGTAAAGAACATGGGAGTTTGTAGCTAACTTGGAGTAAAGCACTGTGTAGCTCTGGTAGCTGTGGGGTGTTACTGCTCTGTGTCCTTCAGCACCTCCTGTAGCCACTACAGCCCTGGGCTGGTGTGTGGGGAAAGGCTTGGAAACCATGCTGGTAGGAGGCTGCTCGTGTGGAGCTGGGAGTGCTGTAAGACCCTGACAGCTTGTGTTACTGATGAGGGAGGAGAGTTTGACATTCCCTGGAAAACAGAGAAAGATGGAAGTTCCTTCTGCCCATTCTCTGAGGAACTGAGCCTGAACTTTCACATTTTGGCAACTCTGCCCAAAGTACCGGTTGGGATGAGTGCTGCAGTGAGGTAAACCCTCTGCCTCTGGTTGTCTTTCCCAAAGCCTGGACTAGATATGCAGTATCCTCCCAGTGAAAGCTGCTGGGGGCATTTGGGAAGACAGGGCTGGATTCATCCCTGTGGTGGAGGAGATGCATTCATCCTGAGCTCCATGCTAGGCTCTCCAGCGGTGACTGCTGGCCTTTCCTGCACACCAACACCATGGGAGCTGCTGCAGGGCAGGAGAGAGGCTGATGTGTGCCTTTGACCATAGAGGCAGTGGCTGATACTTGAGTTCTGCATGTAGAAATGTCTGATATCTTCAGAGAAAATAGGCTAGAAATAATCTATCATGTTGTGTGTTCCTTGCCTGTGACACTGTCCTTCAGGGTTTGTACCAGTTGCTGGTCTGTACCAGTTGGTATGCTGCATGGATCTGATGCATCTTTATACAGCCTGCTTTGATCTCCTTGTGCTCTGCTAAGCTGGCCTTCTCCCAGCCAAAGGGAGTCAGGCTTTGTGTGATCATGTACATCCTGTCTCCTCCCCTCTCTGTGTATACACACAAGCTGCATATTTTACTTTAGAAATGGCAAATTTGGGTCACAAGTTCAGCAGCTAAATGATGATTTTACCACATCCTGCTTGCACAGGAAGCTGCTTTTTTAAAACATTGATAAGTTGAATCCTCTAGATTTTGTCAAAACAAGAAGCAAATGAAGCTGTTTAAAACTGCAGAGAGGTCTGGATTGTCACATGATTGCTTTGCCACTTTGTCTCACAGTTCATGCTTAAAGTGAATTAACTTCAAGGGAATTATAGTGCATTAACTTAAAGTGAAACCCTTGCAGCCTGCTCCTGTGTTAACTGGACTAACCAGCTTCCTGTAATCACCAGGTAGTGATGGTAACCTGAAAAAAAAGAGTTCTTTTAGTAGTACTGTATCAATTTTCCTCCATTATGTTACTAGAAAGTTGTGGGAGGTTTTCTTATTGGTTGGCTGGGATGGATTTTTCTAAGGAAGGATTATTTCTTAATTAAACAGGGAAAAATTGATACAGGCCCAATGAATTGATAACTGTTTCTCACTGTAAAACTTCCACATTAAAAGTTATGCCAAATATTCTTGTAGTAGCTGCAAGACTTGTGCAGTGGTACTGAAGGGAAAGGAGCTAATCAATCTGGTAAGCAATGTGGATGCTCAGCAAGAAGTGGGAACCTTCTGAGGGTCTGTGTGTCATGGTGTGATTGTTATTCCATGGTGAAATAACCTGCTCACCAGTCAACCGTCCTGATTTTTTGTCTCTGTTCTCTTGTAGGAATGTTCACCCTTGCGGAAGTTGCATCACTCAATGACATCCAGCCAACTTACCGGATCCTGAAACCATGGTGGGATGTATTTATGGATTATCTAGCTGTTGTCATGTTAATGGTTGCCATTTTTGCTGGAACCATGCAGCTGACCAAAGACCAGGTGGTCTGCTTGCCAGTTCTGCAGTCTACTGTAAATACAAAGCCACAACCCAGCACGTCAGGGAAGGCTGACTTCACCACTGTTGAAACAACCACTGGTCAAGGAGAAGTAACATCAATGGGAACGGTTTCTTTTGGAAGTGCCCCTACTGTAACACCTGATGTACTTCTGAGCAGAGCTACCTCTTCTCAGTATCAACCCACTGAATCAGGCCAGGAGCTGAAAAAGGAACAGAAAGATTCCTCAGGCCGTAAAACCAATTTGGATTTTCAGCAATATGTATTTATTAACCAGATGTGCTATCATTTGGCTCTTCCTTGGTATTCTAAGTATTTTCCCTATCTTGTTCTCATCCATACTATCATTTTAATAGTCAGTAGCAATTTTTGGTTCAAATATCCCAAGACTTGCTCAAAAATTGAGCATTTTGTGTCTATATTAGGGAAATGCTTTGAGTCCCCTTGGACTACCAAAGCCTTGTCTGAAACAGCATGTGAGGACTCGGAGGAGAACAAACAGCGGTTAACTGGTGCCCAGTCCCTACCCAAGTATGTTTCCACTAGCAGTGATGAAGGAAGCCCAAGTGCCAGCACTCCCATGATAACTAAGTCTGGCTTCAAGTTTTCAGCTGACAAGCCAATGATTGAGGTTCCCAGCGTCACTATCTTAGATAAGAAAGACGGAGAGCAAGCCAAAGCACTGTTTGAAAAAGTGCGTAAGTTCCGAGCTCACGTGGAGGACAGTGATCTGATTTACAAGCTGTACGTTGGCCAGACTGTCATCAAGACTGTCAAGTTCATATTTATTCTCTGCTATACTGCAAACTTTGTCAACACCATCAGCTTTGAACACATCTGCAACCCAAAAGTGGAACACCTGATTGGTTACACCCAGTTTGAGTGCACACACAACATGGCTTACATGTTGAAGAAGCTGCTCATCAGCTATATTTCCCTCATTTGTGTCTATGGCTTTATCTGCCTCTACACCCTTTTCTGGCTGTTCCGAATACCTTTGAAAGAATATTCCTTTGAGAAGGTCAGAGAAGAGAGTAGCTTCAGTGACATTCCCGATGTCAAGAACGACTTTGCATTTCTCTTGCACATGGTAGATCAGTACGACCAGTTGTATTCCAAGCGCTTCGGTGTCTTTCTGTCAGAGGTAAGTGAAAACAAGCTACGGGAAATCAGTTTAAACCATGAGTGGACTTTTGAGAAGCTGCGGCAACACGTTTCCCGCAATGCCCAGGACAAGCAGGAGTTGCACCTCTTCATGCTGTCGGGGGTCCCCGATGCCGTGTTTGACCTGACAGATCTGGATGTATTGAAACTGGAGCTGATTCCTGAAGCTAAAATCCCAGCGAAAATCTCCCAGATGACAAATCTCCAGGAGCTTCACCTGTGCCACTGCCCTGCCAAGGTTGAGCAGACTGCATTCAGCTTCCTGCGGGACCACTTGAGATGCCTTCATGTGAAGTTCACAGATGTTGCAGAGATTCCTGCGTGGGTGTACCTGCTCAAAAACCTCCGGGAGTTGTACTTGATAGGCAACTTGAACTCTGAAAACAATAAAATGATAGGGCTCGAATCCCTCAGAGAGTTGAGGCACCTGAAGATTCTCCATGTGAAGAGCAATCTGACCAAAATCCCCCCCAACATCACAGATGTGGCCCCACATCTGACAAAGCTAGTCATTCATAATGACGGCACTAAGCTTGTGGTACTCAATAGCCTTAAGAAAATGACTAATGTCGCGGAGTTGGAACTGCAGAACTGTGAACTGGAGAGAATTCCCCACGCCATCTTCAGCCTCTCTAACTTACAGGAACTGGATTTAAAGTCAAACAGCATACGCACAATTGAAGAAATCATCAGTTTCCAGCACTTAAAAAGATTGACTTGTTTAAAGCTGTGGCACAACAAAATAGTCAACATTCCTTCCTCCATTACCCACATAAAGAATTTGGAGTCTCTTTATCTCTCCAATAACAAACTCGAATCCTTATCAGCTGCAGTGTTCAGTTTACAGAAACTAAGGTGTTTAGACGTGAGCTACAACTCCATCGCGTCAATTCCAGTGGAAATAGGGTTGCTTCAAAACCTGCAGCATTTCCACATCACGGGCAACAAAGTCGATGTTTTGCCAAAACAGTTGTTTAAATGTGTTAAATTGAGGACTTTGAGTCTGGGACAGAACTGCATTACCTCAATCCCAGATAAAATAAGTCAACTGCTGCAGCTGACTCACCTGGAACTGAAGGGAAACTGCTTGGACCGCTTGCCAGCCACGCTGGGGCAGTGTCAGCTTCTCAGGAAAAGCGGGCTCATGGTGGAGGATCACCTCTTTGATGCGCTGCCCTCAGAAGTTAAAGAGGTGTTGAACCAAGACACAAGCATTCCCTTTGCTAATGGGATCTAGGTGGAGGTGAAGTGCTCTCTGGTAGCTGACTTCTAAATGGCATATGCTAAACAGTATGGCGATTGCGAGACCATGCGGAGGAAGGACTGCTCTAGCAGGGTTAGAAGAGGTGTAACCAAGTGTTCAATGTTTGCAGTGTTTAGAAAGATTATTTCCAAGATTTTGGAGAGGATAATGAACCTGAATAATCTCAATTCCTTTTTTTTTTTTCTCTCCCCTTAAATTGTTTGTAACATGGATGCTGCCGCTTTTGAATGTTTACAAATTTGCTTGCCTGCTTAAAGTAAATGATTAAATTGATGACCTTTTCTTACTATGCAAGTTGTTCCTTAAGGTCTGGATTTACTTTAGTGCATTATTGGGGTGGGGGTGGGGGGAACACAATGATAAATGTATACAGTATGGTCCTAACAGCACTCAAAACACATGTTGATGTGTATTGTTAGTGTTTAGCCATCCTCCAGTGAAACCAGCTTGGCTGTGCTTTGAACTGCATCAGAACCACCATTTACCTGCATTAAGGTATGTGGCTTGCATCAGGCCAAGTGTGTTTGCCTTCTTCATCCTCAACACCTCATGTTATTGGGTAAGATTTCTGCTGTGGTCCAGTGTCTGGTACTTCACACTGGCAAAGACTGGTCACATTCCTGCCACTGGTCTCTCCCTCAGTTTCCATAAGGCTCCTCTGCCACACCATCAGTAGGTGGTAAAAGGGAGAAACACTGCCACTTGGCTTCCAAGTTGGGGCTAGTTTTCATATTTGAACTGGTTTGCAAGGCAACTTGAAAGCCATCAAACACCACTTTACTGCTTATGGTTTGCTCCTTTTCTGAGTTTTCAACTCAAGGCATTTTATGAGTTGATGATTGTTGTTTCACAAGCCTTGCTTAGGAACTGGGATGTCTGCTGCATTTCCTAGACTGATGACAGAGGCATAAGAGTTGTGATTTACCCAAATGTGATTTAGCTTTACCACCTATTGTGGTTTGTCTCCCACACCTGAACTTCAACCATAGGACCGCCACCATAGGAACACCTTTCCCCCCACGCCATCGCAAGTAGTTTGATGGTTTTGAACACTTAAGTACTGTTAGAAAAGCCTAACTGTGTGCCACATAAGTCATCAAATAAAGGAAAAAGCAGACAGCAGTGAGCGTGGGATTTCTCTTTGGCTGTTTTCTTTGGTGGTGGTGTGTTTTTGGTTTGTAACTGAGTTTGCATTGCCAGAACCATTAAAGAAATATAATCCATTAAATCTGCAAAATCATCAGTTGTAAATCTTGCCCATTTACATTCCATGCGTGCAGAAAAGAAGTACTATGCTGGGAGATGATTACATGATTACTCATGGTTTAAACACAATTCCCTATTGTGGTGCGGTCAGGACTGAACTAGTCTGTAATTCAAGGGACTGTTCTCACACAGAAATCCTCATGCACAGTGATTTCTACTGTACTATTGCCAGAGCTGCCCTGACTTACACCGCTATTAATGAGGGGATAGTTTAGGCCTGGGGGCATTGAGCAGTCAGGAGCAGTTCAAATACTGCTCTTATGAGGCTTGTTGTTAATCATTTACTGTTAGTCATGCTGGGATGACTGTTCTAAGCTGTAGGTAGCAGTCTCTATGTATGAATGAATACATACCTGCACTGTATGTTTGTGTAGATCAGAAGACTCATTTATGAAGAGTGGTTTTCTCACTTCTTTTGGGGATACAGCCTGTTTTCCACTTGCCAGCAGGTAGTAAACCTGAGATGTTGACAGTCCTGCAATACCAAGTCATGGGTTTGGCAGCATACTTGAAGTTACTGATCCACTGGGAAATTCACTGCTAAGTGATCCTCAGAGTCTGTGTTTCAAGCAGAAGTTGAGGCTGCAGTGGACTCTTTTCTTTCCCTTTTATTAAGACCCTCTTTCATGTGTTTATTTTTTGCACATAGATCACTTTAAAATTGCTGGGCTATTGACCCTTTCGAAAACCTGTGGAACATACTAGTGGTGTATGCTTTGTATTTGCTGTTGAGTGTCATTTCAGCTTCCAAGAATTGTGTGTAGAGGGAGGAAGAGTTGGAGGATGACAAAGTAATTAAAATATTTACAAAAATAGTTTTATTTTTCATCCTTTTCCCCTTATTTTGATAGTGGGAGTCTCACAGAATGTGGCTGTGCATTGATCTAGCTTTGGTGTTTTCACATTCTCCTACTGATGTTCAAACCTAAGCCCATCTCAACTTCATGGAAGTATGGTGCACATGATTTACACTGCTGTTCCAACTAGTTATTAGCCAATTGTACTTCTCTAGACAACTTCCTCCAAAACAAGTATGTGTTAAAGTTTATTCCAGGCTTGTGATGCTTCCTCAGCATAAACTCCATTCTTGTTTTCAGGAAAGCTTTCTCAGCATGGGGAGGAACTGCCCATCATCCCCATGCTGCCTCCCACTAGTCCTTCCTCCTTGTTGTGACTGTTCATAATGTTCCCATTTGCTGTGTGTCAACTGACACAGTCTTGCTTTAAAGTTTTGGAAGTTCATCTCCTTTCCATGTAAGGCATGTGAAATATATTTTGCATTTCTTATGTGATTTAATAAATAAGATGTTTATATCTTCCTCTAATCTATTTTTTTAATGGGGAAAAAGCGTGTTTACGTAGTAAAATCTCTGATTTCAAGTATCTTATGCTAAGAACTATGATCTAAGAAGGAAGAGGTATGAGTTGCTGCTCATAGTAAATCCTGTAGGTGTGGTTTCTCATTATAATACTTCAGGATAGGGTGTTTATTCTCTTCCATGTACGTAATCTAAATGACCTGACACTGTTTTGATTTGGCTAATGGAGTTTAGCAGAATATGTGTATGGCCCTGGAAGAAAAATGACTCTACTCATTCAAATAAGAGGAAGTAGGAAATTGCCCATTCTGTTTGCTCCTGCCACTGTAACACATTTCTGTGAAGATCCTGTAGTTTTCCAATAGATCATCCTTTTGGAAGATGCTTCCTGTGGTGCTGTGCCTGTCCTGAGCAGGCATCAGGCCTCTTGGTGTGAGGGAGGATGCTGACACTCATGAAAGGCTCTCTGCTGCTAAATAAATAGCTTGGAAGCTCTGAGCTGCCCTCTCATAGCAAAGGGGGACACCCAGACACTGGTGTATCGTGTCTGGTTACAGGGGATCTGCTTTGTGGCCTGTTTTTTTAATCAAAAACTTACAGAAATAGCTGTTTTATATATTCTGCTTCCATGGATGTGCACAGAGATCAGTGGTGTACAGCCATGTGAAGGCAAGGGGCTGGACTGTGTTTCCTTTACTTCAGAGTTGTGTTAAGCAGATGAGGTGCTCCTGTAGCTGTGGTGTTGTCCATCAATCTGAATTCTTGCAGGAGCAGACTTTGGTTTTCAGACTTCTCAGTTCTCCAGACAGGGAGTTGTGCAGGAAGTTGACAGTCCCGAGTGTAACCCTTCCACGTGAAAAAATGAGGCTGCTGTCGGGTCTGTGGGATGTGAGGTGCTAAAGGTGAGAACAGGGGGAAAGGACATTTAAGATACACATTTCCTGTCTCTAAGCTGGGGATTCTTTATTGCGTGAATGACTGTGAAAAACACAAAGCCTGTAGAATTGAAGTGTCATAGAAAAATCCAAGAGGCACAGAGGCAGTCTCATCATTAGCTGCATGGCAGAGCCCTATCAATGTGTGCAGCTGGAATCTTAGTCAAACAGCAGCTGCTGATGCTCTGTTTAGGCCAAGTCAAATGACTAGAAAGGTATTAATCTATTTGCTTGCAAAAGTACAGATGGAGACAGACTTCTGTGTGGACGCATTGTGTCCCAAGCAGCTTGGGGAGACTCAGGTTTGGATTCCTTTGAAAAGAGCTCTAAGGGAGACCTAGCATCAGTTTGGTTACAGACAGGCAAAAAGCTGCATTATCTAGTGATGGCCGTTCACAACCATGGGGCTGCTCTGTCTCAGGCAGCCTCTCACCAGCCTCTCTCTCACCAGCCTCTCTCAGGCTGGTGGTTGACATCCTTGCCCTTGCAAAGCCTAGGTGGTCAGTGGGTTCAGGAAGCCATTTTGTGAAGGTATTTAAATGAAAGCTTTTCAAGCAAGTTAGCTGTAGGAGCATGCAAGGTGATCCTAAAGGTTACCAGAACTGAAAGAATTGAGACATTCTCACTGTCTTTAATCTTGGCATCAGCCCCTTGCCTCCAGCTGTGAACTGATGGAATTGTTGCATGAACTACTGCTGAATTGACAGGGTTCTCCTAATGACTGCCCATTTTAGCACTAGAGAAGAGTTCCCAGTTCAGGCACTCCACTTGTGCTTGTACAATGTGTTCAGCACTTAAACCAAACGCATCCAACACTGATGTTGCAAAGCCCTGAGGGCTTATGCTGAGACCAGTTTCCCAGGTCAGCAAATCATTCCCTGTGCTGCTGAAGGGGGGGAAAGCTGCGTTGCTGAATGCAGTTGTTTCTGTAGCAAAGATGAAGCTTTAGAATTAAGCTCAGAAGCAGATTTTCCGAGCTGATTACAAACACGCAACCCATTCCACTATAAAAGTCATGAGAGATGGCGTGTTTCTGGCAGAGATGCTGAAAACAGTGCCTGTAACTCAGCCACGCATGGGTGCAAAAGCGGCAGCTCTTCAGCACTGCACATCGACACAATACAACTTCAGTGAGGAGCTTTCAAACCACATGCACTGGAGTGTGGCCAGGCTGCATCTCTCTGCCTTCCCTGAAGAGAACAGCCCCTAAGCCCTTTTGCAATTACTACCACTAGGACCTTTGTTCTGTCTTGCCTCCAACAGCACGTTGCCCCTTGATGCTGGAGGTAATGTGCGGTTATTGGTTTAATAATGGCTGTTTGGGAAGAATGCCACCTTCTAAATTAACACCATCGTGGCTTGCAGGATGTCTTCCAGCACTGAGCAGGTCTGTTCCCATAAAATGAACACGCTGTGCCCATAAACAACACTGTCTTGAGTTGGGACTGGGTTGCCCAGACCATTAGGAGCAAATGCATGAACGTGTTGCTGTTCTGCCAACAGGTTCTGGGTAGTTTTGGTGCTCCAGGTGGTTGTAAAAGCAGATTTTAAGACCTTTTCCCTAACACCATCCTACAGTGTTCCTGGTTTGCCCCAGAGAGCAGAGGTGGGGTGGGAGAAGGCCTGGCTCCTGCTGCCAGCACCCCATGGAGGCCCCCATCTGCTTGGAGTGGCTGGATTTATCTTGCCCCTCCTGAGGCATTGCCTATGGGAGATGCCACATAAGGTTACATAGCTACAAAATAAAGGGGGCATGGTTGAATGTGACC